GTGAGGATACATGAGCTTCCTGTCGACGGAGACTCACATAGGTGAATTCAGCGTACAGTACGTCCACTTTATTCCAACCTTAAGATGAAACTGGAGCTTTGAAATTAAACCTGCAGAATATTTCTACTGTCAGAGACTAATCTGTGGGGTAAAGCTCAGGCTGGACCGATTGTTTATATTGAGCTTGTTAAATGTTTTTGTGCTGACCTATATATACAGATATTTGAAAAACAATAAAATATCAAGCAAAGACCCGTACAAGCTGGATTAGAGTCTGAAATCTGGACTTAATCATCTAGAAGGACATTAATGGAGCGAGTGACTACAGAGCTGTGTAAAAAGTAACACCCACAGCAGCCAGGATGATGTTTTGTTCCAGGTGAGGGTTTAAATGTTTTCTTTTTGAGCTTCCGTTCTTTCAAAGCTTCTCTGTAGACGTCCCAGACTGCTGCTGATGCTCATGGAGCTTCAACATAGAGGAACATATAGACACTCAAGTCATGTGAAGCTTCAGCGAACATTAGGAAAACTCTGTAAACTGTGTGTGTCTGCCATACGCAGAGTCACTTACACTCTATACTCTGAATTAGACATCTATTTTGATCCCTAATCGGTTGTTTAGGCCTAAGTGACCAAACAAAGCAGAAGTGGGTGAAACAAACACGATCGGATTAAACGCCTAAAATTATTCTGTAAACGGAGCGCGGCTCAGAACCGGAGAATCCATACGTTTGTTTACCTCCACATATAACGCACGCCTGGCACAGCGATGACATTTGTTTACTGTCAACAGTATTTGAGAGTCTGTATGTGAATCCGTACATACCAGCGACATCCTCCGCCATGCGGGGAGGAAAGGCTCAAAGAGGAACCTCCCCAAGTTTGGTTGTTTGCATCCTGCAGGCGTTTTGAAACACTTGAATCCAAATTTCCAGCTTCATTAAATACCCTCACTCCTCCTCCTCCTCCTCCTTCAAGAGCAGGAGAGAAAGTATAAAGCATAAAGAGAGTGAGGAGAAAAAATGTCTTGTGAACCATTGTTTGGATCTTTATGCAAAATCCTCCTTTGCGTTTCGAACTCTTGATCCCCATAGGCAAAGGAGAGAGGAGCGTATTGATCTGCGCTGAAAGGAGACGGCCCTTTCATCACGCTTCCTCCTCACCTTAGACGCCTTTGAGGAGGCTCCTTAAGGATCGCAGCACCCTCGCCTGGTTACCGGCCCCGAGATTAGGACGGCGATAACCCGCCCAACCCTAATAGGTAGCGAACGAAAGCACAGGCTGTCTAATTAGCGCTGATCAAAGGCGAGGACTTTATCCCCAAAACAAACCTGCACATCTGAATGTGCTCAGGAAAGGAGGAGGAGGAGGAGGAGGTGAAGGTGGAAGGAGGAGGGAGAACTTTGAGGTTTGAACTTCTCTCAGACGTTATCTCCCTCTCTCTCTCTCTTTTTTTTGATGATAATATGCACAGCCTCGCTCGTTCTCCTTCTCTGCTTTATTTGCATGCAGATGTGCGAGCACAGAGGGAGCTGAGAGCAACACACAGAGGTTATTCATGAGCCTGAAATCCTGACGTACCTGCACCGAGAGGAACAAACTGAAGCTGTTCGCTCAGAAAGTAGTCTGTTCACAAACAAGAAACTCCAGCACACCTTTTATACCTTTCTCCTCTGGTCTCGTGTTCCTCCACATGTCCTGAAATCCACCGCAGTCCAACCACAATGAAGTCATCAGAACTCCAGAGCGCTTCAAAGAGTCAAACTTGACGCCTGTCTGACTGCTGTTTCAGATAAGAATCACACTTTAAAGTTCGGGCTGCAGAAAAGACCCCACAGTCATATGTGAAAGCAATTAGTGTGATTGCAAAGAGGAAGGAGAAAAGTGCAAATGTGTCACTGCTTTGAGAAAAGATGGCCGACATCCAACTCCTTCTCCTTGTTGTGTTACAGTCGCCTACGACCTCCGGTCACTTTTCCAGCCTTCTACCCTCTCTTTTTCGTCGGAGAGACCGTCCACCACGTCATCTAATCTGCCCCACCGATCGGACTTTAAGTGTTTTCATCATTAGGCGCCTGTTTCTCTGAACCGAGCGGCCGCTGATGAGGAAGAGGCCAAACTGCAGCAGCAAACGTGTCAAACTTCATCCCATTTACTGTCAGGCATCTCCTGCAAAGTTTGATGCAAATGTACAAATTGCCACGACTGTGAATGTATTTGAAATTTGATCACATTTCATACCCGCCCGCTCGCTCGGCCTTCTGCCCCCCAGAAAACTCCACACGGCGTCCAAAAAAAACATCCTGGTAATGAATTCCTCGCGATAAAAGAAAGTTTATTTCTCCATATTTGGACTTTTTGTGTCAAATTTACACATTTCTATCAGTTGGAGGCCGCACAGATGCAGGAGTGCCGTGTCCTAATCTTAATGGAAGGAGCACATTCCACTGTCTGGTTTTGCATAAATTTCCCCAAAAATATTCGATGTGAGAGTTCGGAGTCGGAGCTCGGGGAAGTTCTTGAACGTAGAAAATAGACGATCACGTGTTCTGATGTCACCTCAGGTAGCGCTCTGATACCTGTGACCTTAAACAGATGTTCTCTGTCACAAACACTCACTCCTGTTTTCTTCTCCTTTCACCGTCGTCACATTTAAAATTAACTCTTCGTGTTTTAGCCGAGTTTAAACGACCTCTGAATTCACATCCTATCAAAGTAGAAATGAGGAATTTCACGGTCAGGAAAGTCATGTGAGTGAAGTGTGTGTGTGTGTGTTTATTCATCTATCTGTGTGTGTGTGTGTGTGTCGGTGGGGGGATTATTACCCATTGCCTCCGTGCATTACGCCTCCCCTCATCCAGTGCCAAAGGCCTGACCCAAATATGGCTGAAAGACAACATGTGACCTGCTTAGCGTTTCACCCGCGGCTCTGTTAGCTCGCGGTGGTGGTGGTCCGGTGTAAAGCGTGGGGGGAGGTGGAGGGGGGCGGGGGGTGGATGCGGTGTGCAGGGAAGGTGGAGGGGTGGGGGTTAGGGGGTTCAGTCTATTAGTGGGAGAAAGCACAGATGCCGGCAGATGGCGAACATATTGTCCAGAGCCGAGCCGAGCGCGGAATAATTACTGGAAAGTTCAGCGCTCTCAGGTCTGAGGTCTGACTTTACATCCGGTCAGCGAGTGTCAGAGAGCGAGGCCAGACCTGGAGAGAGACAGGAGCGGAATTTAGATTAAAACCTGAAATTAAAATTAATCCAAGAGACACCTTCAAACGCTCCTTCAGTTTAACACAGCGAGTGCGTCTGAGCGTGTTTAGTCTTCACGGCACTTTTTCAGGTCAGTCACGGTCACTAAAGACTCCTGCAGCTTTTTTTATTCTTCATAAATTCACTGAGATACAAACAGAGAAACAAAAAAGATAAATATACCAAATGAAAATGTAAAAAAACGATTTCAAAACTCTGCGTCTAAAGACCTCTGTACATATATATAACTCCATCGATTCTGAGACTCCTGATGACGTTGGTTCAGTTTTAATTTCAGCCATAATTGCAGTTTTGCTCGTGTTGTTAAAGCATATTTAAGATATTATCTGAGACTGTATACTGTTGATATTAAACACTCCTGCTGTAAAAGATCAAAATAACTGTTGACAAAGTTTTTTCTGCTGAAATGAGCTGACTCAGACTGGAATCAGGTTGGAATAAAGTCGCAGCACAGACGGATGTTTGGAAAATGAAGATCTACGCTCAGTTTAGAGAAAAATGGAGATTTCTGCTGCGATAAAGAGCAGAGCTGTGCAGAGGTGTAACACTTGATGACCTTAAGAAACAACTTTTTAGACCTTCTGATGAAAATCTCAGTTTCTGCTCTCTTCTGGATCAGAGTTCATGTAGACATGCAACAGCGTCCTCCTGCAGACTGTTGTCTCAGACGTTCACCTCTGAAACTGAGCTGCTTATGAAACCAAAATCTGTCGAGTGATCTGCCCGCCCCTCCTCGAACACACACACATCTACAAACACACACACGGATGCAAATGTGTCTTTTGGCGATGAAAAAGCTGTCTGTACTCATTTGTAGTCGTCGGCCTGAGGATAAAATCAGATCACGGTGACGCCTCCTCCCTTCATACCCTCCCCTCCCCTCCCCAGCTCGTGGCTATCGGCCCAGCCGGGGCCCAGGTAGCGCTCGGGGGGCCCCCGTTCAGTCAGCAGGCTGCAGATGCTGCACCCGATCGGGCTGTATGTCCCCCAAACGTCCCCTCTGCCAGGAGACCAGACACATTACTGCAGGAGTGACGTTAAAACTAACAGAGAGCCCCTGAACGCGGCGCGCTGCAGCAGCCAGTCTATGTTGGAGTTATGAGTAAATATAGCTCTATTATGCCCTCAGTGGCAGTGCACACACAGAAATGTATTGTTTATGTTGCTGTAATACGGATCTAAACCTCATTGATGTCTCGTCGCTTGAATTTATTCACCGGCGAACGATTGATATGGATGGCGAGTCGACCTGCAACAGTCTGCAGACGTTAATGTAAACAAGGTTGATGTTTGCAGAGGCGCAGTTATCAGCTTCAAAGTGCACACAATAACAGGCAGAACAAGGCTGGATGAATAAACATTAACTCCTGTTTTTCTCAAAGAGCAGAATTCATTTCATGTGGATGTTAATGACAATAACTCACAACGGACACGAAAAGGAGCTCCCGCAAAACAGCTCCTCTTAATACGATCAGTCCTGATGATTTTCTCCCCGATAATGATTCATCAAACGGTTGGCGGCGGTCACAAAAGGGCTGCAGTCATTAATAAAAGAACAGAGTCAAAGCACCTTGGGGATCTTTTTTCTTTCTCCCCCCTTTCTCCCTCTCCCTCTCTCCGTGCGTTCGGACCTACTTATCATTAAAGCGGGTAAAAAGTGACTGCCACATCTGAATGAAATCTCATTGTTGGATTTCAAGATGTGAATAAAATTCCATTTCATATTAGGGCCCATTAGCATCACTGAGAGTCCTCAGATTCGGTGACCTTTTTGTTCCAGGATATCTGGATCTTCTTGGAAGTTTTTTCTCCTCTACGTTTGCTGAAGTGAAGCGGAGGACTTCGCTCTTTTTTCTTCTTCTTCTTCTTCTTCTTCTTCTTCTTCTTTTGTCTTTGGCTTTAAAGACAAAGATGAGTCTGCACACTGAGATTTGACCTCCAGATGAGGATGATATGCAGCATCTGTAAAAGGTGACACTCACAGAACTAAACCTCCAACTTTGCTGATCCTCCGTCGACCTTCAGTCTTAGAGTCTGTCGTTGTATCTCTGCTTTGAGGTGCATCCATCAGAAATGACTAGAAATGCACCTGTTACTACTGATGAGACTGAACACAGAAGAGGAAGTAGGAGAGAAGGAGGGAAGGAAAGAGGAAACAGGAGGGAGGAGGGGAGTGGAGGTTCGGAGGTCAGACCAATAAACAAACAACGCATCGATTTCCTGCCGCTCTCTGCCGTTCCAGGGGAAACCCCCCCCCTCGCCTCCACCATCCGCTTACACTCATCTCCACTTATGTTAAAGACTCCCTCGCTGGGGGAAACCCGTCTCTCCCCCCTTTACCTCCCTCACCTCCCCCACCCTCTTCCTCCTCCCTGGTTAATAGCATCCTTCGGACATCTCCCGGGGACGGTGCATCTGAGGTGAGACGCTACCAGAGGTTGCTAATCGTTTTATTAGAGGAAGTCAGAGCTGGGCTTCAGCTGGTGGGGCCTGCAGACCTGAAGCTCTGAGCTGGTGGAGACATGGAGACATGGCGCTCTGTGATACACACCTGTTAAAGGAAAGTTCACACAAAAGCTCTGCTGTATATTCTCTCCTGTGGAGTCAGGCCCTGTCTTTGCTCTTCACTCAGAGTCTTAAAGGGCCGATCCGTACGATCAAGGATAACCTCTGTATAAAGGAGAGGTTAGTTTGACCTTACATGTCCTTTCCCATCATGCACTCTTTCTCACAAAACCCTCAAGTGTTTGACAAAGAGAAGGGGATGAAAATAAACACGGCGGTCAGCTGTAGAGGAAGAACCTGAACGCCGTGAAAATCGGACATGAACGGTTTCCAGCAGTTAGATAAGGTGGACTTTTCCCCTCTGTGTGCTCCTAGCAGGAAATAACTCACACCTTCATTTTCTCTTTAATTCCACCATCATAAAGTGCTGAGCTTTTTTCCTCTCTTGTATTTTCATCCTACAGCCTGTCCTCTGACACAAAAGTGGAGAAATGGAAAGCTTTTTTTTTTTTCCCCCGTCCTGTGTTTTTAATCCCTCTGCACCCTAATTGGCCTCTCTTTACTGTGAAGTGAGTTCAATCTGCAAGCAGATAAAACAAGTGTTGGGCGAGGGCGCAGGCACCGTGGCACTGTGTTCCCAAGCATGAAGTGAGCGCTTTTCAACTAATATCCAAACCTTTGCAATTAAAAAGGCTCCTGAGCTGTTGAAGTAACTTCCTTCTTTTACTCTCTCCTGGAAAACCGCTTCACCTTTTTCTCCGACCGAGATAAGACGACGATACAAGCCCTCGGATCAGCACTGCCTCTCTGTGAAGAAGCTTTTTGGTCGACTGCTTCCAAGGATTTCAACCTGTCTTTTTGTCATTTGCAGAAAATACGCAGGTCAGTAAGTCGTTTATCGAGTGGTGTGACAGTCGAGGGCATTTGTGACCCTTACAAATGGCGAAGAATGGCGACAGGACCCTTTGTGCGAGGTGGTTTCTTACGAATCTTCAGCCCACCCATCCAAACACAATGGCGCTGTTGTGTCGGTACCAGGATTAGCAACGACTGGTATTGATCTGGTGTTTCTTTCTTCCTCCGTGTCCGTATGAGAGGCCAGTCGATATCTGCACGCTTTGATTTCTTTGTGGCCGTCTCTCTTTCTCTCCGCGGATTCTCTCATGTTGTCAGTGAGGAAGCAGGATTGGTTTGATACGAACAGATCTGAGACGACTCTTCCTTTGCAGACGTCTCACTTAAAGAAGCTCTTCTGAAGCAAAGGAACGAGGGTGATTTACATACTCGCAAATATCTGATTCCTGCAAATATAAGGGCCGTCCTCTGAGTCTACACTGTCCATACAGCACAGGGTCTCCAATAAGGACATTTAAATCTGAGTAACACTAAAATATGGGTGTAGAGACCGCAAACAGTGTTTGAACATTTTCAGACACTCTTTCCAATTAAACTCACTGTCATTTTGAATAAAAAAAGCAAACAAATAAAAAACTCATGGAGGCAAAGGAGCCGATGTTAGTGGCTGAATGTTCGTGTTCGGCAGGTAGACGTACCTGTGAATCATGGTTGATGCAACATCAGTTGTATGTGGGAAAAGCAGTTCGTCCTTCAGGGGTAACAAAAAGAAACACGTTTGACAAAATGTCATTAACAGATTCAATGAACTCAGGTGAAGAATTTGACTGATACTGATTTATACAGGAAGATATCTGCACATGAGAAGATATCTGCACATGAACATATGAGAAGATATCGATACATGATAAGATATTTGTACATTAGCAAATAAGAAAATATCTGCAAATGAGAAATTATCTACACATGAGCAGGTATTTGCACATGAGAAAAAATCTGCACATAAGAAGATATCAGCACATCAAAAATATCTGTAGAGTTCGACATGAGAAGATATACATAAAAAGATGTATGCACATGAGAAGATATCTACACGATAAGATATCTGTACAGTAGCACATATGAAAATATCTGCTCTCATGATTATATCTGCACATGAGAAAATATCTGTCCATGAGCACATGAGAAAATATCTGCACGCAAGAAGAAATCTGCTCATGAGAAAGTTTTCCACATGAGAAAATATCTGCAAATGAGAAGATATCTGCACATAAACACATAAGAGTATATATACATATGAGAAGATATTTGTACATTAGCACATGAGAAAATATCTCCACATCAGTTGGACTTGGACTAAAAAATGAGTAACACAAAGCAAACCTGACACTTTTAGATTTAACTGCAGAAAAATCCAAATATTATCATTTACTATTAGATTGAATTGAGATTACATATCCTAACACCTGATATAAGTGCAGTTTAAGAAAGAGTAAAAAAACACGACAATAACCTGTGTGATAATCTTGAAGTGACAGGATTCAGATGAGGTTAAATTTGTCAGAGTGCAGCAGCAGCAGCCCTTTAACTGGAGAGCACATATATGAGACTCTTTAGACGCCTATTTGTTGCTTTCATGTTCATTTTAAAGCTCCACTTTTAAACGGGGAATATCTAACAGCCAGTTAAGATCCAGATTGTTTTGCCACCGATTTTGGCAGAGCCTCTTCAGTGCCATAACATCCACATTCATTTGTTTGTCTGTTGACGTTATATGTTTGCTTATTTATCCATGTCTTTATTTTTTAATGAGCTGAAAATCCACCAGAGGATCCTCGCGATGAAACTTTAAAACGTGTACAGTAGCAGCAAGGGGGGGAAATATTTACATTGAAGCTGGCCACAATCTCAGAAGATCCTCAAATGTAGGTTAGAGCTGCAAAGTTAATATGCAAATGTCCTTATCTGCTGGGATTCACAAACAACCGTCATCCTGATTGATTTAATAAACTGCTTTTATCTTTCAAAGTGTTAATTAGGAGAGATGGGCCCGGCTTTGAGTCCCAGCTTTCTGTGGCACATTTAAGAGCTTTCAGACAAAGACGGAGAAACTTTCTGTCCCCTAACATCTCTGAACTCGCACAAGCTTCAACATTTTGTTGTTGTTTCTGAGGCGCAGAGCCGCACGCCGCCGCGGCTCTGCAGAGATACAGCTGCTTCCTCCAGACTGACAGTCATGTGGGGATGCTGCTCTGCATTTTAAAAGGATCTAGTACTGACCACGTCTATGTCCGATAACTTTAACCCTCACGGTGTTTGGACTCTGTCTCCTCCAGAAAACTTCCAAATGTTCCTCAACCTGAGAACACAAAAGGTGACTTTAATTTGTTCTCATCTCGCCCTGCATGGACTCAACCCTCCAGATTTCCGTGACGCATTAATTGACGCATCCTCCTGGCATGAACCGGCGTGTGAATGTGTGTGTGAGTGTGTGTGTGTGTGTGTGGAGGTCTGACTCTTGCTGGATTTACTGTACAGGTGGAGAGTGAGAGGAGCCAGCAAACATGACGCAGGTGCGGTGTTGGCTCAGACTATCAGACAGCAGCCTGTGCGTTTGTGTGTGCGGTGAGTGTGTGTTTGCGTGTGTGTGTGTGTGTGTCGCTCTTTGCTGCCAACCTGCAGGGCACGAGAGTTCACATTGTGAGGCGACATACTGCCGAGCCGCATGCCAGTGACCAGAAAAACACGGCAAAACAGGGATTCCCCTCCAGTCACGGGAACCACGACATGAAACGCCGGAGCTGCCAAGACCCCGAAACCATTAAAAAAAAAGAAAAGAAAAAGAGGCGAACATGTCTGAAAGCTTCCTCCTCATTGGCTGGTGTCTCACGGTATCACGCAGTTTTGATCTCATCCAGTCGGACACTTTGAGGGAATATTTTTCCCCCCTGCCATCCCAAAGCAATCTGAATAATTTCCACTTGCATATTTTAACTCTCAATCTATCTTTGATGTCTTATTTGTGTGATTATGTCTCCCTGCTTGTGAAAAAACAAGCAGTACGCACCGACTGTCAACCACTCGTGGCACTTTCCTCCTTTTTTCTTTCTTCCCTGCGCACGGTGGGGACTGTTTTTACATTTCAGTTTGAAGGGATCAAAGAAAACTCCCTCATGCTCCTCTCCCAGTAAACACCACAAATGGACCAGATGAGGAAACTTTACTTTTAAGGGACTCTCTCTCTCTCTCTCAGCTCTTCAACTTTCGGCATTCTCAGGCGTGGGCGGCCATCTTAACCTGAGCAATTAAATCCGGGGACAAAGCGCCGAGGCTGCAGAAAGCCGGCGACAGCGAGCGCGCCACCTCTAATTATTGACTGGCCCCCGGCTCGACGGCCAAAAACCTTCATTATTCTTCTTCCTGTGGTAATTTGTATTTTTTCCTGACATTCATCATACATCGTTGGTAACCTTTAATTCATCTGCTGTTTGCACTTTTGTCTGCTGAAGTAAGACTCCGAGCACGCCGGCCTTCATGGCGGAAAACACAAATTAGAAACGCGGGAACGTCCGTGCGACCCAAACTTTACTGAAAACAAGAGAAACACTCTGCTGCTTCATTACGCTCGTCTTCATCAGACTGCATGCATGAGGGGGAAATGCTTTTGTTCCTCCAGCTCTTCTTCTTCAGATATGAGGGGCACACATC